ATCTCTAACAAACGTCCTCAACTTGCTCAATCCGAACAATGATATATCATTGAAACATCAAAAACGAGAGCGTCCCTTGCTCGAAATCCTATCTCAGGATTACCATTCTCAAGATCGATCATACTAGTATTTGGAACTCCGACTCACAACCTCGACCTGTACATAAATAAGTAAATTTTATTCTTTCTCTAATCAATAACTCTGCTCATTTTGGCCGTTAACCAAGAAGTATCGTGTCACATGTCACATCGCTGTTGACTCAATTACTTAAAGGTCTTGCGATAAAACAAACGTATCGTACCCGGGTCACGATTCATCGGGCAAGTGTAATCAAAAGGATAAGCCCCCGTAGGGACCATGCACGCGGACTCTAATAAAACTCTTATCATTAAAAAGGAAACGTACTTCAACTAGTAAATAGAAATATAAATTTATATATATATATATATGTGTATATCATTAACGAAGAACAGACTCCTCCGCGTTCAATCTCCAACAGGCGACACTCCGCTCCAGTACAACCAGCATCACATCGCTCTCCTGGGATCTCCGCACCTTCGCATCACGACGATCTATCCCGTTCGGTCATTCGCCTGACTGACCTCACGACCCTTCCTCAATCACGATCTCCTAGAGCTTCTGAATACATGTCCACACACAAAAAGAACAAGTGTTAAAGATCTCGAACAGATTTACACAAGAACTCATCCCTCCTCCCTCCTTTTTATTAAAAGACTGTACGAGAATCCGCTCGAAGCAAGCGATCAAAGAAAATTTGGCTCCAGTCATATCGTTGCCCCCAAAATAAACGAAAATTACTTTAATCCCCCTTGTACTTTAAATAAAAACATTCGAACCAACTTGTCTCCCTTTGTTTACCCGTGTCCTCCTTTGTGACCTTCCCTCCTCCCGGCCAATCCGACTCCAGAATCATCTCCATTTCCATTTGTCGACTTCAAGTTCAGAGTCGCCTTGCCCTTTGTCCTGTCTCGTCCATGCGAAAAACCCTCCTTCGTTCTGGCAGTGGTCCTCACTGGCGTAGACGAGCCCCTCACCGACTCGTCTCCGACGATCCTCGCCGCGTCATCGGAGACCTCGTTACCCTCGAATTGTTCCAGATTCACCGAGAGGATGAATTCATCCCCCGCAGCATCAAACAAGACACCCTCGTCCCGCTGCGAGGGGACGTTTTCGATCGTAGTCGAATCGTTGAGCGAGACGGCAATGCCAGCAGCATCGGCCAAAGTCTCAACAGCATCCCCCGATCCCGTAGTAAAATCATCTTCAGAGATATCCACCTCTGCTGGCTCCCCCGCCGGTCTCGCATTCCTGACCCGCGTCACATTTAAAATGTTGAACTTGTGCACACCTGCCTGGTCTAGAGACAAGCGATTTCGCTTCTTTCGCAACATCCCTACCGATCTTCCCTCCATTTCCAGCGTTATTATCGTTCCGGATCTTGTGTATTTCTCGCGAACAACTCTCCAACGAGAGACATCTAGCTCTCCATTAAATGTTTGCAGGTTGCTGATAATGTTGTTCCCATTGAAGCGAGAATGGGTCCCCCTTCCCTCCACCAGGAAGCGATTGTCCAGCGCTTCCTTGCTCTCGATCTGTAGGCCACAACCACTCGACAGCTTAACGAACTTTATCGCCACTTTGAGCCAACGAACCGTGACTTCCGTGTCACAGGACAACAGAATTCCCCCGTTCTTTCTAAAGAAAGAGAGGAATTCTGGTTGCACAAATCTAAGAGACTTTTTCCGACGCGTTTCTATGTAGTTCATGACACACCGGCTAAGAGCGTCTCCAAAATCTTCGGCCTCGCTGATCGTGAATACTCTGTTCGGAAAGCCCACTGGGACAACCGCCACCTGGTAAGAGGATTCGGGGTCCTCTCTCCAAAAAGGCCTGTTCATTTTTGCAAAGTTCTTACACTCACGGAACTACTAAATACTGGAACGGAGGGTCGAAGCGAGCAACTGGTGCTCCGCACCAGGGATCTCGTAACTTTACGTGCAAGCTACGGTCGGCCGGAAAGTGGGGACGACGCGACCATGGTGGGGATCAATAGTTGGTGGGGGTATGCAGTGATTTTCACGGTAGCGCTGCGGAGAGCTTCGCGAACGCGCATGAGCACGCATGAGGGGAATAGTAGTGGGGCTTGAAATACGGGCGAAAAAGAGGGAAAGCGAGCCGTGCACGTAAAGTTACGAGATCCCTGCTCCGCACTCCCGCTCCGGCTCTTTTATGATCTCGCAGGTCACAAGCCACTCCCCGCTTTCATCTCCCCTTTCGCCGCTCGTCAACGAGAGTCGCGAGCTTCGCCGTCATTGGACGTTCGAGTTCCCTACCTCTTCTCGTTTCCGAAACACCGCCCATCCTTCTCTTCGTCTCGAATGCAAAGGGTTAACACGTGCCCAGTTTTTTACCTTCCGCAAAGTAATATTTAATAATAATACACGCCGATGGCGTGAACGGCAACAATATATTTAATTAGGCATGTTATTGCTTAACTAGACTGAAATAATATACAAAATCATCTTCTTTCATAAAAAAACGAAAGAGGACACTTTTCACATATATCCCTATTAAAGTATTTTGCATAGGAA